TATGGAAGAAGGAAAAGAGAAACTCCAAGAAAATTTTAGAGGGAATGGAAAAAAAAAACTTTACTGAAGAGGAAAAGAGAATAATGAAAAACGATAAGAAAAAAAAATCTGGAAAAAGAGGGAGATGGAGGTAGAGAGAGGAAATGGAAGTCTAAAATATTAGTGGAGGGGTAGTGGGAGTCATTTGTGTGAAGGTGATGTCAACAGATGCCTATAAAAAATCTTGTGTTTTGAAAATGATGATTAAAAAACTTAAAAGGGACCTATAGAATGCTTATTTTGTCCATTTTCCCAAGAAGAACCATGGCTGTTTCAAACCGGCTCTCCTCCCTTCAATGGCGCACAAGTTTATTTTATTTTATTTATTTATTTACGCACAAGTTGAATATTAACCAATAATAAATAATAAAAACAAAACTACGTGAACTAAGAAAAAAAAATTAATTAGAATTATCATAATTAATATCAATATAAAGTATTATTATTATTATTTTGTTTTAATATGATAATAATGATATTTTTAAAAAATTTATTGATATTAATTTTTTTATCCCACAAAACTGACAGATTTAAATTTAATGCTCTCTTTGCCAAATAGTCAGCCACCTTACCATGCACATGAATAAATTTAACACCTTGGAAATTTCTGCTCAACTCCAAAATTTCAGACACCCATGAACCCTCTTCCAACTTGGAAATTAATTATTGATATTAATTAATACTAACTTGAGAGCTTAGCTTAAGATATGTATTTACGACGAAAAGGTTATGAGTTTGAATCTTCACCCATTCGAAACTTCTTTTCTCCCACTTTTCTCTCTCACTTCACATCTTTGAAAACGCACCGCAAGAGGGAAACAACTTAGATCCAAGAATGTAGAGACAACCAAGATGTTTGCCTGAAGCAGCCATCCTTGAAAAAGTGTATATTCTTCTCCTTCCACCAACTAATTCCATTCTTGAATCTCGTTTATGAGATTGATAAAAATCAATATTTTTATATATTCTTCTAATTTATATGCGAAGAATCTTTTCAGGGTTTGACATGCCACGAATCCTCTTGAAAGAGAGGGATACATTCAGGAATGCAAACACAAGTGGTGCATGGCAAGCGTTAGCTCGTGCAATCTTGTATTAAAAAATATCAATAATAACAAAATTAAATTAAATTTTTGATAAATTAAATAGAAATTTATAATATCTTATAATAAAATTATATCAATTAATAAAAGCTCTATAATTTTTTACAATAAGAAAAAGTATTAGTAGTATAAATATACAAAAAAGGAAGTACAATTGCAAATAATTGTGATACTTCGAAAAAACTAGAGTACATATAGGATACACCGGTGCTAAAACCTTTTCTCAAGATATCTTCCAAACTGTTGGGGAACTTGCAAAAGTCGAGTAGTCGCAGAAGTAACGTCTCAAACTCACAAAAGACAAGTGAAAAGTATCTTGAGGTTTCGTCGTGAAAGTATTTATTGAAAATGTGTGGAGCCCACAAAATAAGGAATGAGAATTAGGTTAATGAGGTTGTAGGAAACCAATGGATTACTCTTTTTAGGGTAGAGTGATTACTAGTTTGAGATGACTTAATCAATTGATTTAATTTAGTAAATGGATAAGTAAACTACTAGATTATATGGAGATTCAATTTACATAAATAGATTGATGTTTAAGATTTTACACTCTTGTCTTAAAATGACCTAGATTAGATGGAATCCCTCTAGAATTTTACAAAAATTTGCCCCCTTAAGTATATATTTAATAAACAATTAAAAAAATTCAAATATGGAAAGGATTTTTCAATTTCAAATATATTTCTCTCTCAAAAATCATATCTCCTTCCCTTTTTCTCTCATTCATTCCATGAAACTCTAGTCTCTCTTTCTCTCCCACCAAAACTTGTCATCCCCTTCCTCCCTCCTCCGACGAGAACAAGAGGTGGCACAACACTCATGAATCCGACCAAATTTGTGGCTACCTCTATGGTTGTAAGTAACCTAGTATAAATAGGTATATACATTATATTCATTAGGTCTCTAATAATAGTTGATTTCAAAAGTATACATAGTATATATATGTTACATAACCTATAATAAGTACCTGTATACAAACATTAAAAAAAATGAAACTAATGAAAAAAAACAAGAACATAATTGATTGACATAATAAGAAATATATATATAGATAAACTAAATTTAAAATATTGTGCATATTCGTAATATAATAAATTATTGTATATATTTTATAATAATACATGATATGCAAGTTATGACCTAGTATAAAGAGGTATATACAATATGTTAATTATATCGCTAATAATAGTTGATTTCAAAAGTACACGTAGCATATAAATACGTGCATACAACATTAACATAAAATGAAATTAAACTGATTGCAATATATATATATATATATATTAAAAGCAATAATATTCAATCATACCCATGTTTCGAATATTGTAATGAAATCGATGCAATAGGAACTTGAGACGATGAATTTGTGGTGAAACGGAACTTTTATTGCTAGAAACTTGAGTTGCTAGACGGAATTTCTCAGACAAAAGAATTAATACTCACTGGAAGGGAAAATATAAATTGATGAAGTATGAAACTCAACTGGTTTCCTCATCATGCCGGTGAGAAATGAAAACATAGACAATAAACAAAAATTATAAAAAAAATGCAAGAGAGAAATGAAAATGATAATCCTCGTTTTACCTTATCATGCTCCCAAGTTTACTCTCCTAAAATGTAGTCCTCTACAACGAATATTGGTGAGATTTAACAAAAAATTACATTTGAAATGTATTAAAATTGAGTCAAAATTTGGAAAGAAATGAAAAAATATTTTGTAATAAATTTCATTATTTAGTAGAATATATTATGGAGTAAATTATGGGATTATGTAAATATTGATTTGAGCCATAATTTAACGTTTGAAAAATCAAAATTGGATCATTAAATATTTTACATTTAAATAAAAAAACAAATTATAATAAACATAAATGCCATAAATAAGGACAAACTTGGTATGGAAAAGTTTTAAATCTAGAAATCTAAAATTCTAAAATTTGTAAAATTGGACATTTGCGAAAATAAGTTTTTAAATGATCAATCGAAGCCATTATCTCTTTAGTAAACACTGTAGAAATGAAAATTTTCATTCTCATTCTTAAGAGATAAAATTTAGAGACAATTGGAGATTTCTGCCGAAGAATGTTTGAGAGACAATTGTTGCTTAATGTGAAAATATCTTAACTTGATTTCAAAGGTAAGCTCCTTAACATATATATAGGATGACTGACATAAGGAAAAAGCTTTACAACGAAAAGTAATAAAAGTGATTGGATGTAAAATGAATGTGATTGAATACACAAAAGGGAAAAATACAGCCTGACCCAACAGTAGACTGAAAGGGCATGACTTTGCTCATGTGATGAAGCATACCTGGATTAAACTGAACTATCTTCTTCCTCAATATCCCCATTCAAACGTGTGGGAAATGATCTAACACAAAGTTTGGATTTCAAATAGAAAAAAAATGGATGGAGAGACCGCTTTTGTGAGAACATCGGCGATTTGGTCTCGAGAAGGTATATAGCGAACTTCAATTTTTTTCTTCAGGAGTTTATCCCGGATAAAATGGACATCCAATTCGATATGTTTTGTTCTCGTGTGAAAAACCGGGTTCGACGCAAGTGAGATTACACTCATGTTATCACACCAAATGACAGGTGTTTGCTGCGGCAAGTGACGAATTTCAGAGAGGAGAGAATTCAACCAATCAATTTCAGAAGTAGTGTTCGCTTCCTTGCAACTAGGAGAAAATTGGTGCACGTATACACCAAAACAATCTGTTGTAGTATAAAAACAAGGTCGTCTCCACAAGGATTACAGTTTTACTTGAAATAGTAAATTAGAATACCAAAAATCAAAATTAAAAATAAAATATTAAAGTTGTATGGATGCTGTAAAGGAAATCAACAAAAACAGTAAATGAGTAAGAACAGAAATATTCTGCGATTCTGCTATGGAGCATTCGAAAACGGAAAACAAGCAGAAAATGCAAAAAAGATGCGATATGAAGGTAACTCGACGGGGAATCACTCTAATGCTCTCACTCACGTCTAGTTCTGCTCTAGTAAACTCAAAATGTCGAATGCCCAAACCGACATGGCTCTCTCTCGAGATATCCAAACATGTTTAGCCCCAACTCCTGTTGCAGACTAAACAAGCAATACAAATAGTTTATAGGCACGAAAGGGTGAGTCTCATCTCTGAGTACTCACCATTCTACTTCAAAGAGAGAAATCTTACGCAAATAGATGCAAACACACAACACAAAGACTTTCCCAAGCCTTAAGTGAGCATAGCAAACTAATAATGTTGGCCAAACAAAATCAGTAAGATGCAATAATAAGAACACCTCTATTAAATCAGCATAAATATATATGAGTTACTAAAACATAAATAACTAAGAGCTACAGCGAGTTCACCCCCCTCCCCCCGAAGGTGGGGTTTAGTTCATAACAAAATAAAAGAGTAGAGTGGGTAGAGAAGAGAGGTACCCCATTAAGTAAGGAAGCTTCAGTAGCAGTGAAGATTCCCCCAGCTTAGTGAAGACGCAATGTTCGGCTTCTTCTTTGTCGACTTCTCCTCGAAATGGGTGAAGAATGTTCTCTAATTTCGATGCCTAAATGGATTTTGTGTTCTGGGGCTCCCTATGGCGGTTGGGCACTGCTATTTATATCACGTTCTTAAAAATTAGGGCACCACCAGGAGGCTGTACGAACACGGTAAAACTGGTGCAAATAAATTACTGCGCAATTACACGCTCTAGAGCATCCTAAGCGGCTTCAAGCTCCTGCATAAATGCATCTTCCTATCATACTCCAGCAACACTTTCACATCCTTGAAAGCACTCGACTTGCCCTCAACAAATTCTCCAATTCCTATACAAAACATCCATAATTAAGCATAATTCATTCAAAATGAAGGAATTGAAAATTCTAATAGCTTAGGGACTTAACTAAGTGATTTCTTCTATTTTCAATGGTCTTTTGATAAGGACTCTCACATTTACACACCAAAATTGCCCAAATTATGCCACAAAACACTCTCTTATGGAGAGTTATCAAGTAGCATGGGCGAGAGAGCGGTATTCAGATTCGGTGCTTGATCGAGCAATCACAAACTGTTTCTTTGAGGACCAAGACACCAAAGAACTACCCAAGTACACACAATATATCGTGGTAGACTTTTGATCGTCTAGGCAACAAGCCCAATCAGCATCGGAATATGCTGTAAGAGAGAGGTCAGCGAACGGTGAGAGATGTAAACCATGGTTTGAGGTACCTTTTAAGTATCAGAGTACCCTTTTTATTGCTTGCCAATTGGTTGACGTAGGAGCCTGCATAAATTGACTTAAGTGATTAACAATAAAAGATATATCAGATCGTGTGTGTGTGAGATACTATAAACCTCCAATTGCACTGCGATACAGGGTTGGATTTTCAATTGGTTGTCCATCATGAGCTGATAGATGCTTGCCATGGATGGTGGGAGTAGCTGTTGGCTTTAGATTCTCAAAGCCTAGTCTCTTTAAAAGAGTAGCACTGTATTTTTGTTGAATGAGATATATTCCATGTGTATCTCTGTAAACTTCAATGCCCAAGAAAAAATTGAGATGTCCGAAGTCCTTTAAAGCAAAGATGTTGTTGAGTTTATCAATGAATCGTTGAATGAGGCAAAGATTGTTTTCTGTAACAATTATGTCATCCAAGATAAGGATCAGAATTTTTAAGTCACCTTGAAAACAATAAAAGAGAGATGAATCAACTTGAGAGTTGGTGAAATTCCATGACAGAAGAGTAGTGTGAAGTTTTTTAAACCATTCTCTAGAAGCTTGACGAAGACCAATGATTTTTGCAGCTTGCAAACATAGTGAGGTCTAGAAGAGTCAATGAATCCAGTTGGTTGAGGCATGTAGACAATCTCATGGAGGTCACCATTTAAGAAGGCATTGTTTATGTTTATTTGTCGTAACTGTCAATTATAAGAGATAGCCAGAGTGAACACTTCTCTCCCTTAGCTACAACCGTAGAGCCTTTATTAAGCTTCCATTTGCTATTATAGAAAGTATTGCAAAAACCTTCATCATCAAGCTTACATGTGAAAATTAAATCCATGTGAATATCAGGGATATGTTTTACACTCTTCAAAATCACCGTAGTGCTATTCCTGGTCTCCTCAAGTGCACATCACCAATACTAATGGCTTTAGCTGATCCATCATTACCTATCCTACACTACCAAAATCGCTAGATGTGTATGACACAAAGAAATTCCTCCTGGATATAGCATGAATTGACGTGCCACTATCAATTACCCAATTGCTCTACTGTGTGGCTAGATTGATAACATCACCATCAAATAAGATAAGGAAATCCTCAGTAGCTGTAGCAACTCTATCTGCGTTATTACCATCATCATTCTTCTTTTCCTTACTCTTTATCATTTTTATTTTCCTTCTTCAGTTGTTGATGTTGGTAATGACAAATATTAAAACCTTTTGTTGTCCCACATAGGAAGAATAACCTTTGGGAAGTTGGTTTATAAGCATTGACTCAGTATTGGGCTTATAAACTTGGTGTGAGGCAAGCTTAGACCAAGGCCCACATGCGCGCCACCGTCGTCAGGCTCGAGGCTAGTCAAAGGACACATGGGTGGCCAAAATAATTTTTGAATTTTTATTTTTTAAAAATTCAATTCTATTTTGGGCCACCACGTCACTATAAAA